CGGGGCTGCCCGAAACCTCGGCGTCCCCATGAGCGGGGCTGTCATGCGGCTGTCGGTGCGCGGCCGACAAGTGGCAACCTTAAGATCTGTGGGATTGAAAAGTGTTTTGCTAGGATAAGAAGTCCTGCAGCACACACATACACGGCTGGGATTTCAATGCGTGCTAAATCTCACCTTTTAGTAAGAACAAAACTCTGTTTCACTATAGTTGTGGTAAAACTCCCATGAAGTCAGATTTGCTTCTCAAAGGTGGTGCAATTAATATTTACACAGATTTGAGAACTTTTGCAAACTGCTTGCATGGAGTAACTTTGCCATCAATGTGTAGTATTAAGCAAAGATCGATGGAAAGGGCAAGAGGCTCTTCTGGAAATTCAGCCAGGAATGTTCAGATAATTATAACAGAACTCCTAAGTTAGTTCACAGTTACCAGGTAGACAGCAGAACAGATTATGTGCATGGCTGGTTTTTTTGTAGTTGGTTTAGCAGGACATATCAGAAGAAGTAGCAGCTAATAAATGAAATAATGGTATGGTGGATCACTGCAAATTCGCTCCACAGACTGTTTTTACCCCCATATTGCATGTCAGCTAAATGTTAGTGAAGGTCATAAATGCTAGTGCATATCCGCAAAGAAGTAAAACAAATAAATAATAAAAGTCTATAAGATAAAGTCTTGCTTTTAATTGGCAGAAATCAGAGGAGCTAAATACTGTCTGAAAGAGATGAAACCATATTGTTAGCTGTACTAGAGGTACACTGTTGTGTTTTTTTTTCTCTTCCTTACATGACTGTCTTACTGGCTTCTCTCATTGCTTTGCTTATGTTAGGTCTTTCTCCTGGTCAACAATTATTCCACTTCTCCAAAGACCAGAAGTGTGTCTGATGTATTCAGCTACCTCAGCATCAGGTGACACTGAAGTTGTGATCTGAAATGTGTGTGTGTGACATACAGAACCTAATGTTTGAATGACTGCTTAATCTGTAGTGTCACAGCTACAGAAACCTCCAGAGCACCAGCTGATATCTAGTGACTGAGTTGTACTTTCCAATGTTTTCCTATATTCCTTGCTTATTTTGCATCCATTAAGAACAGTTTTTCATTTGTGGAAGCTTCAAAAGAAGAGGAGACAATGTTTATAGAGCAGGTATATGATATGATAATACGTAATATTATTTTAAGAAGAATTGCCTTCAACAATTCTGTCACTTAATACACAGATGTAGTAAATAAGTACACATTGCAAACTATTTACTTGTTTCTGTTGTTTTTTTACTAGAAACAATAACTGAATGATATATACAGTAATATTAACATTACTTAAGGCTCAAGACTTCCATGACAGTAAAAACAATCAAGCCTAATCCAAAAACAATCAAGACCCCAATCCTTATCTCACAATACAGCTGAACAACAGCTAATAATTAGGTATAATTGTAAAAGATACAATCATTTGACATGTTAAGTGGTTTATTTATCTGATGAGAATGAAATATTTTGCAGTCTACTCAGAAAATTTTAAAATGTGCCACAAGAATCCATTTATCATGCTGCAGTAGCATCTTCATAAAGTGGACAGATTTGAACTGTGCTTGCAGCATGGAAAAACACAGTTCTCATACCTATAGCCACACCTGCTATACACAAGACTTTCCCTAGAAAGCAGCAGAAAGCAAAAATTCTTTTCCTAAGAACATCTGATAGTCTAAGACAGCATTTTCAAACATGACTGGCTGAAGTCCACCACTAAAATAAAACTACCCTTCAGTACTGTCACAAAAAAATAAAAAGTGGAGGAGAGAGTTACGGTTAGAAGGGTTAGTCTCATCTACACGTGGACATTCTGATCTCTGCCTCCAAGTCTCTGCAGCTATTAAGAGTGTGCTTCTCAGTGACCACTCTCCTCTTACAAAAAATTTGCTTTTCATCCTGAATGCATTACCAACAACAGTACAGCAGTAAACTGAAGGATATGCTGCTTGATCTAAAGCAGGTATGAAATGCAGAATAATAATCTCTTTGTGAAAGCACATAAGTAATTAGTACAAATAAAATAATATGTTGGTTCATCTGGCTTACCTAGAGGATGCTAAATTTGGTCCTCTTAGTAATACAGAAATAAATACCACACTTTGAGTTGCCAAGTGCAATTCTTTAAAAGCCCAACAAAAAACCCAAAGTGAAATAAGCAATTCTCTTAATTTCAGAAATAAGCCATAAAGAAGAAAGAAAGAAAATTACTTTTATGGTCCTTTTCAGGAATAAATCTATCTTTAGGTACCAATTTTGATCTCAAACATAGCTCATATAAAATGTTTTTATATAAAAAGAGTACAGAAGCCAGCCATTATCCATACTAGGTGACAATATAGTAACTAAATTTTCTAGCTCTGTATCCAAATAAATTAGTTTGTTATAGTTACTGACCCAAGAAGGTGAAGTACAATATTGTACTAGAAAACCTAAGTTATGCAACTGCATGCACTTCACAGTGCAGTTTTTGATAAACAATTTTTTTTAAAGTTACTGCAAAAAAACCCCAAACCAATATAAATAAGTTTTTCAATGTTAAAAGGCCTTTGAAGTAAAGTTCTTGGATACTGTGTTAATTGAAATCAATCTCAGATTTTCTGAAACTGTGTGAGCATAAGACCTAATGACTTGATAGTGAGCAGTAGGAACTAAAGCACACACACTCATTTATTCATGGTTGATTCTTAACAAGACCTTGAACAAAGAAATCTAATACAGTTTCTTCAGTAGCAACAGCTATGAAAAATGCAATTAAGAGGAACTATGTCTTATTGACACTAGACTTTTTGTCCATTTCGATGGAATCTGGAGCAACAGAACTGACACCAACTCCAAGGCTTGAGCGTCTCAAAGATAATTCAGAGGGAGGAATATAACGTAGCTTTCGGCGAGATAGTTTTACTGGAATTACTCCTTGGAACAGTGCTATGGTTTCTCTTCTCTGGATGACAGAAGGTAGCTGAGGAGGAGATTTTAAAGGCTGAGCTTCATCTGTTCCTGTTTTGTCATCACGAATGCTCAAAAAACATTCTCTGTTGCACCCAAATTCTGAAGCATCTTCTCCAAGCTTGCATGAATTCTGCTGTGCTCTAAAAATACTTGTTCTATCTGTTTCTTTTGTTTTCCCTGACCAACTATTGGTTTCGGGGTTAAGCGTCGACTTGGATTCTTCAGAAGCAACTTCTGCTTCATCTTGACTGGATGTCTTATCACCAACACTGTTATCTAAAACGAAATTTATCAGGACATAAATAGCTAAAAGTTGCAACTCTTCTGAGTGACTGCCATCAAAAATATTAGTCAATATGGTTTGTCAGCATCAGTAATTTGTAGTGTGAATGTGGTAAAAAATTACCAGCTGGGAGCAGCCTAACTAAAAGCATGGCATATGACAAAGCTATTAGTTACAACATCATTCAGAACCTTTCAGATAGTAAAATTCCCTTTTCTTAACCACAACAGTTTGAAGTTGTAGCTAATGAAATTATGTTAGAATCCAGACAATAAACAATTTAAACTCTGGTATACCACTGCTACAACTTAAAACTGTCTCTTCTTTGAAACTGGGGGACAGGTATAATATATTCCTGGAGAACAGTTAGTTCAGTAAAAATATTTTTATGTCTATCTGATATATCTCTGTGTGTTCACCATCTTCAAATGGTTTATTGACAATTGAGTAAGTGCTTTTAAGATAACATACTTACATTTAGTGGATGCCAGTAATTGATAGGGTGACTCTCCAAAGAGGCCCTTCAATTTCTTCTTCAGCTCTCTGCTGGTTTTCTTATAGAAAAATAAGTCTTTTTCCAGTTGCTGGACTTTTACTTCATACTGTTTCAAGGTTTCTGCAATACCTTCAACGTCTTGTTCTAGGGCAAGTAAAACTAGTTTAAGATCGTATATCTCTGTGCCAAAAATCAAGATGTCATGGTAGACAGAGTATGTCCTGTATCTTGCTATTGCTTTGCTTGCAGTGTGTACATTTTAACTAGTATTACACAGTATCAAAAAGGCAGTGCCAATGCCACTTCAGTTTCAATAGTAGTATTTAGTAGATCGGGATCAGCGGGACCCATACCTTTCAACTTTCCAATATCAGCAAATTCAATATGAAAATACAGCAATTCTGATACTGCTTTCAAAAATGTTCAATTTTCTGTCCTTAGAGACTCTATGTGTCTGTTCCCTACCATCTTATACAACATCAGAATTAGTGACAGCCAAAATGCATCTCTGAACCTTTTTCTTTTTTTTTTTCAATTGGAATATGGTATCTCTCAGTGACTGAAGATAATACTTGTTGTACAATTCCCCTCCCCAAGAAGCAAATACCTTTGAAATGATGCAGTATTAACTGTACTTTTTTCTCATGTTCTTTATGTTGCAGGGTCAGCTGCCTGTCACACTGCAACTTGATATGTTCAAGTGCAGATTCTAATTGACGTATTACGCTTTCCTGGTCTCTGAACTTCATTTCCTGTTCTTCCATCTGCAGTTGTAATTTATGTTCAGACTCACGTAGGCCAACAATCTAAGTAAGAAATACAGTTCTTTTGATTTATCAAACCATTTTAAGAAAAGCTTTTACCCATCTTAATAGATTAAAGCATACAAAAGCAATGGTCTCTACAAGCCATAAGCTTATATTGGAAACAGAGTTGCCTGCTGCTACATGTTCACACTTTAGAAATGAGCTCTGTTCATTTTGATCACATGGACTAGTGATATTTTTAATACTTTTTGGGAATTTAAACTGAAATAACTGTGTTTTTCTAATTCTGGAAAACTTCCAACTTGTAACCCACAGACAACTTGTTCACAAAATCACCCAAGGTTTGCCCAAGGCCACAAAAACACAACATGTCCTAATGCATTTAATTTTTATGTTTCCAGATGTCAGTATGATTCCTCAGTATGTGGCTGTACACACTCCAGGCAGTGTACACAGAAATATTCAGAGAAGAGCCACAAGGATGGTGAGGGGTCTGGAGAACAAGCCTTATGAGGAGCAGCTAAGGGAACTGGGGTTGTTTAGCCTGGAGAAGAGAAGGCTGAGGGGAGACCTCATCACCACCTACAACTACCTAAAGGGAGGTTGTAGAGAGGTGGGTGCTGGTCTCTTCTCCCAGATGATGGAGGATAGAACAAGGGGTAACGGCACCAAGCTGTGTCAAGGGAGGTTCAGGCTAGAGATAAGGAGGAAGTTCTTTACTGAGAGGGTTGTCAGAGGCTGGAACAGGCTGCCCAGGGAGGTGGTGGAGTCACCATCCCTGGATGTATTTAAAGAGTGGGTAGACGAGGTACTTAAGGATGTGGTTTAGGGGGTAGACAGGAGCGGTTGGACATGATGATCTCGGAGGTCTTTTCCAACCGAGCGATTCTGTGATTCTATGATTTTATACTGGATTTAGAAAAAAAATTAGGAATACTAGCCTGACCTTTATGAAGCCTGCAGTTGGGAAGAATTTCAATACAACACCACTATTTAAATATGTTACTGCTCCAAAAGCTTGCAACACAGAGCACTGGAAAGGAGCAAGGAAATGTCCAGATTTGCAGCACCTTTTAAGCTAATGACTCCAAAACAAAATATACAAAGTTAACACAAAAGTATCCTATTTAGGTGAATGTAAAAATTAAAAATAACTCGATTAATAGCAGATCTGTATAACCTGAAAAGATTTTCACCAGAAGCTTGTTAAATTTATTTTTATTTCTTGACACCATTTCATTATCTAGATTAGCAAGAGAAAATAGGATAAAATATTATTCATGGGCCAAAACAAACCTTGTTGAAATACTTGAAGAGAATAGCTCTGAGCTCAGCAGCAGACAGGGAAACTAGTTTTCCTATTACGTTATTCTCACTCTGTGAAAGAATCTGAGAAGCTGATCTAAGCAAGTGCTGGCGATTCTGAATACTTTCATTCTTGTAATCAATAGCAGCCTCCAGGGCTTCAATTCCTTCTTCCAGCTGGAAAAGGACATGTTCTTCCTACAGAGAAAAACATGAGCAAGATCTTTAAAAAAAGAGGTGTAGAATTAATCTTTCTATACATAATAAATCTTTAACTTCATTCTCAAGAGTGAAACTGAACTTAAGGGCAAGACAAACTGGTAGTAGTAATGAGAATGGAACAAGAAAAGTAACAGGTAGAGTACGAATCTGGAACACTTGTCTTTTTCTGCCATAGTACCCCTTCCATGATAGAAAGGTTAATCAAATAGTTAATCACAAAAACCAGAAGTTTTCCTTGCTATCCATCTCTCATCCTCTCCACAGTTTGACTTCTGCTATTATGTTTTTGGTTGGTCTAGTTTTCTGTTTGATTAGTGAATGAAAGAGCTTAGTGACCATAACTTATACAAGAAAGTGGCAGAAATGCATAACCTGAAGCACTGCATAAGATTTTGAGGAGTGACGCAAGTAGGGTTCTTTCTGGCATATTGTCACCTCAGCCATATGCCCATACTGCTTGTCAAGATGTAAAAATAATCTGTGCATTTTATATGAATTTATTCTATCTTCAATGTAATTATACTGATCAACTCAAGTGTGGACCATCCAGGTAATATGATTTATTTTCACTGTAAAAATATGGAGGCCTTCAGGCAAAGTTTGCTTTTTCACAAAATTGTATGAAAAAAATCAAGGGGCCTCACTGTGCCAGTACATTGCCTTGTTCTATGTCCTGAAATTAAAATACAGAACGCTTTATTATACAACACTACTGCCTAAACACTTTTTTTAATTTCAGAGGTGCTTACTTACCTCAGTTGACAACACTTTACCATCTTTCAGTTTCTCATCCACACTATTTCTTCTTCTGAGCAGTTGATCCCTTTCCCTCTGGAGAACCTGAATTTTTTCCAAAATATGTGTCTTATCTTCAGTGGTGCTGCCCTGAAGCTGCATATCTTTATCACACAGTTCCTGATCCAGCATACTTAAGCGAGTAGACAATTTCATACTATCTTTGTTTAAAGCCTAAAAAAAACCACAATAGCCATAGATATAAGACTAAGGTACTCCTTCCAGTAAGAAAAATCTAGGTGAGACTGTTACATTCTGCAGTGAAAGACTTGCCTGCTTCTTGCAGTGGGATTCCATTTATTTTGAGGAGACAGCTACAATAAAATTTACTATTTACTCAAAAGATGCATTTTTCTACATACTAAAAATTAAAGGGACTAGTCATTATAAGTCACAATACTTCAATTTCTACGCACTTTTGCTACAAAAATAAATAATGCAAAATGTTTCCCTTTCATGTTCTCTAGATTGCAAAAAGACTGAGTCATTTTTAGATGTCATTTAATGCTCTGCAATAACAGAACTCCAAAATTGGGATTACTTATTTATTTATTTATTTATTTCAGATTTTGGGGAGGAAAAGTGAAAAAAGTGATTATTCTGTGATATTTGGGTTTGAAATGTTGATTTGCTCAATCCTTACAGTAACTTCAGAGCAGTGGTAGACACAAAGGTCACATGGCCTGAGCCTCTTCTGCTACCCTTCTGCCTCCTCTGCCCCCCTTCTGCCTCCTCTGCCCTTAAGTCTTTCAGTCAGCACCGTGACTGTGGTGAGTTTAATGTTTTTTCTTAAATCACCTGGCTTGATCTCAGTTTCTTGACTTCCAGGTGGCTTTTCTCTTGCAATAATGCTTCTTTTTTGGCTACAATGGCTTCTCTTTTCTTTAAATCTTCTTCTAGTTCTACTAACTGTTGGTGCTGTTGGAGAATTCTTTCCATTTCTTCATCCAGCCATTTCTTTTGCTCTTCTAATCTCTAAAGTTTAAGTAGAGAGCCAGAAAGCATTAACCAGGACTCTTTAGGTCAGCATTTTAAGATTACGTTTTTTCTTTTTTAGAATAACTGATAAAACTGTAGAATTTGACATTTCTAATGTTAACATTAATTCTGCAACAGAATCTTGACTCCAAATAATACAGAAATTGGACAGACTTTAAACAAGGCTCAGCAGTGTTACACTGCTACATCTTGTATAAACAAATTTATATCAGATGCCTTTAATGAAATGTATTCTTGTTCTAAGAACAGTTATATAAATAGATGTACTCTGTATAACTACAGCAACTCGATTTGGAAGATACCACAAGAATTCAGTGAGCCCATCCTCATTGCATTACAGTTTCCTAAGACCAGCTATTTGTTGAAAAACATTAAGTGACAAGAAATTACGATGTTGAAAGAAAGAAAGGCAGTAAATGATACTTCTGATCCTGCTGGCATACTCCATTATAAATCTATTCTGAAGCCATAGTTTATCAGTGAATATATTACTGGTAAGGCTAAAAAGTTGCCTTGATTTAACTTTGTAACACTTCTTTTCACCTTTAAAAAAATAATGAAACTTTCATGTTCCAATGTCCACATCTGAAATAATGGTGGCACTGCTGCATAGGACACCTGCCTTTCTAACTCTGTTAGGAACAACCAAAACTATGGACTTCTGTCATTTATGTCAGAGGTGAAAACAAAAAAGCTAACAAACCACAAAAAGTTTATAACAGAGCTCATGAGGATCACCCTAAAACCTACCAGACAACCAACCTGTTGGAATTCTCAGGTCTCTGAATCAGCATCTTTCACAAATCATAGGGGAAAAAAAAAAGACATTAGAGCCTTTCCTTTCCTTCATTCAAATATAGTGCAAGAGCTGTTAGACTATACTCCCAGTTTTTGCTATAGCAAAAAAGAAGACAAAACTGTGATGAAATACTCTTCTTCAAAGCACTTTACAAAGATGGGGATGAAGAAAGAAATTTATTTTCAGAACCCACACAGATTCACAATAGATAAGCTACCCGTAGCTTCTGTGAAGTATCCAGTGAGTTACATTTCTTCTTTTTAAATGCAGCAATCTCTTTATCCTTAAGGATCTTCTGTTGTTGCTCCATCTGTAGTTGAAGTTCCTATAAACAAACAAACTGCTTCAGTCTGTTTTTAAAATGCATTTAATGTCAGAGTCCACACAAGTATATAATCCAAAATACTAACCCTAAATTTACATGTAAAAGTGCGATTCAGAGCTAGACATCATGTAATAAAATAAAAGAAAAAGCTGAGGAGAAAGGCAAACTTAAGATTTCTGTGGAAATATTTATAGACAATTTCTTCAGTACATCTGTCAATAAAGTAATTATTTAAAACTACGGAAAGCCTGGCAGTATAGTTTGTTGTCTGTGGGGAAGCAGAGGCAAAATTGGCTCATCTCATTCATTGCCATAAAGAAACAGGAAGAATCCTACTTTAATTTGTTGCTGGTCCCGCTGAATCTCTGCTTCCAGTTGCTGCTTTTTTTTGCTCTCCACACACAGTCTCTTCTGTAGTTGGGTCTGCTGATGTTTCATCTGAGCCACGTTCTGCTCAAGTTCTGTTGCTTGTCTCTCACTTTGGTTAGATAATGAAGCCAGACTCTTAGTGTCTTGCTGTTTCTTCTGTAAGGCCTAAATGTTCATGGCAAATTTCAGCTTAATAACAGGAAAAAACTAAAGTATGACTCAACTTCATCCTTTATTTCTCTGAATTATTAGAGTCAGCAAGACTTACTAACTTATGCTCAAACAATCACTCATTATTTCTGTGGTTTCTGAGCCATCTGGTAAAGTCGGCACAGGCAGAATTAATCTCAAGCAACATTGCAAGGTAAAGATACAGTTCTTGGCAATATAATAAAAGTAGTAAAATCTAATAGAAATTACAGCTCTGGAAAATGTGCAGAGGCAAAATGCTGCCAGCATGCTTGTCCTGAGCTCAAGCGAATACACCAGCTACCTCTTTCTGTATATTGCTTGTCTGACCCACCATTAAAGGACCAAGAGGCACAGGGCACCTAAGCTGGCCCTACAAAGTATTTAAACTTAGGTATAGTAGAACTTAGAAGTTAAATAAACAAATATGACTGTATTTGGCCTGGTCTTACTTAGAGCTGGAATTTATATAGTATTTTCATAAAACATAAATTTTATTTATGGTAGGTAATAAACTTGTAATAGTCCTTCTGTGTAGATTCTTTTATGGTACTACTACTATGATAAGCATCTCTTATCAACCACTTCTTTCTTGGTTTCTTATCTATCAAGAAAATACTGTATGTATCTAACCACATATATGTTAAATAGCACTCTGAGTACAATAGTATTAAGTTTCTCATTAGCTACTTCAATCCAACCAGCTTCCAACGTGCAAAACCTGTCAGAGTTTTACTAACAGAGTGTTAAGGTTTAAATGTGATAGTGAAACAGAGATATGCGAATCTTAATGGTCAGATCAGAAATACCTGCACTTTCAACTTAGCTGCATCAATCTTCTTCCGGAACTCTTTTTGTAACTTGGCTTTCTCAGGAACGTCTCGCATCTCTTTACTCTCCAGCTCCTGAAGCCGCTTTTGTGTTTCAGCCAGTTCCATTTTGGCCTGCTCAGATTCTTGCTCCAGTTTACTTATCTTCAAAGAATATTGCCTGCTTACAGTCTGAGCATCCCTACCTTAAAGACACCATATTCAAACAGCTTTAAAACAGCAGGATAATCAGTTCAAATGTAATACTTAATTCTGTAGTTGAATCATTACTTACTTCATTCTGGCTAAACCAGTAATTTCTGAGACATTTTTGAACCCTAAAGGAACATACAGTTCCTTTCTAACTTTGAAACAGAGATAAAGGAAGGAGTCTTAAATCTGAATTTTTCATGAGTCAACTGAAGTCACCAAATAAAGTGCCATCTGAGTGCCAATAAAGTTAAATTCTTCTGCCTTCTGTAGTTTTTGCCAAAATGGCTCTCCTGTGTTTCATAAATTTTGCTTTTTCCAGAAGAATATGGTGTTTATTTTACTCAACTTTCAGCTTAATAATCAGTAAACAACTTTGGATTGTGTTTCTGCTCCCTGACTTGGCTTGTCTGGGTGATCTTCCCCAAAGTACTACTTTTTGAGACACAGAATTTTTCTCAGTGCCAAAAGATAAACTCAAGAGAAGGTATGCACAGGAGAAGAGTGTGATTGAAGGAGCTGAGCACAGAGATCCTTATTGTCATCATAAGGCTAGTTTCTCGCAGGCATATATATACCAGGACAGATGTCTAAGGGATGTAGGCTAACAGGGACACTGACCTTTTCCCTCATCCACTTCTGACTCCTGCTTCTCTACTGCAGTGCTGGGAATGTTTACATTCCCAGCACAGTGATGTGTCTTCTCTCCTATCCCAGACACCATGTGCCAAATACATGTCCACGAAGAGATCAGTAGCACTGAGCATACATGAAAAATTACATTATTGGTGGATAAAAGCAATAATCAACAAAAGGTGAAAAATATTTAACAAATACAAGTCCATATCATGACAGAGTAGGCTGCAATCAAAATTTACAGTAATTAATGAAAGTTATGAATCTTAAAGTTATTAGAAGCATTCTCGCATAAGATAATTACATAAAAACTAAGACATGCAAGACTTCAGAAGTTTTGTGCATTTTTTTTTGTTTCTTAACTTCTTATTCTAATTGTCCCTACAGTAGCCAGTTACCTGTTCTTAGTAATTCCTTAATAAGTTCCTCTTTCATTTTGATATTAAGTGCAAGTTCTCTCATTTTTTGCATAGCATCAGTGAGTCTCAACTCTGAATTCTTTAACTTCTGCATGTTAAAAACATGGCTTTTCTGGAGGCTGTCAATCTCTTCACCTTGAAAGAAAACAAAGCAATATGGAGATAAAAAATCTGGAATACACTCTGTATCCAAGAGCTAGTGCTCTGGAACATTGTATTTGTGGAGTTCTTCCACGTGAAGTAAAAGAATCAAAAGGAGAGAATAGCATAAAGAGCCTTTTCCCTGCCATGTGTCTAAACAGGAAAAAAAGAGATGGTATGCACTAGCATTTCAATAGCCAAAATGGGAAGAAAAATATTCCTGAAACCAAATCAGTGCATCTCTGATAAGACAATAGCATCTATTTTCTTTCACTGAAGCAGTACTTAAGATTTATATCAATAGTTTTTTTGATGTGAGAAGTGCTTTCTGGTTAATAAGTATTACTTAACAATTAAGGTCATTGACATCAGTTTCAGAAAGGGGAAGAAGAAGAGAATTCTGAAAGCCTACATTGAACTATAATCCCAAAAAGTATTTGTATCAAATACACATATTTTGCTAGGGAAAATAATTAAATGTTCTAAAGACATTCTTGCATATTCTGATATTGTAATAAGATTTGCTCTCATGACTTCCATTTTACCTGTGGTTGTGTCAGTCTGTAGTGCAGATTTGCTGGATAAACCAGACTTGTCTACTTGTTGATTCATTTCACTTAGATCAGGAAGAAAGCACAGAGAAGCCTGTTTTCGTGTCCATGTTCGGTTTATGGAATGCCTAAGGAAGGTTGAAAAACCTGCTACATTACAAACATGCAGGGTTTTTTTCCTTTACCTTCATGCAAAGTACATGATCTTAACAGAGAAGAATCCCAAACTCACATAAGCATTCATAACTTAATCTATTCATAACATTCATAACATAAGCTATTTCCCACCCCTCCACTTCCCTGATAGATTCTGGCATGAAAATAAGGATTATGCAATCTTTATTAAATAAAAAACTTCTGTTTATTAAACTTTTTTGTGGTAATATGCCCAGTTAGTCCCCTAAGTTTATCATAAGTAGCATCACAAATGGTCTCATATTATGGCAGGATTAGGCAGTAATACTACCTTTGCTATCATTGGTCTGCAACAAAAATTAAAGAATAAGAAAAAATTACTTAAATGAAGTTTTCTTTTTGCTGCCTGTATTTTCTTCCTCTTCATCACTCAGATCAGATAAGTGGCAGTGAAGGACTTTATCCTGATCTTCTATGTTGCTTAGTATCATCTGGCTGCGAGCATGGAATTCTGCCATTATCCGGGCCAGCGAGAAGGCAGCGGCGCTTGTATGCACCTGTCAAAAAGCACACAAAAAAATGATGGGTAAAGCCAATTGCAACAATTTAGCAATTCTCTACTGACATTTCAAAAAATACTTCAATTTAAAAGTCTGTCATCACTTGAGCTTGTAAGCAAAATTACAGAGGTTTTCTGTAATAACTCTGAATGCCATTGTAACAAAAGGTTTTGCAAAAGCTCAGAGCACTTGTTCCCAATGTCAAAGAGGGCACTGTTAGCAACTCATTATCCAACATATTCAATATAGTGGTAAGAATAATAATTCATTTTTGATAACGCTTAATATTTGAACCCTCAAAAACCCCAGGAAAACAACAGAAAATAATGCAGCTTTAGCACTTGTAAGTGATAAATTTAAGCCTGAACATTTTAGACAATTGTGGCATAGCATATGTCACAAAACATTAAGAAGTAATTTCTCAGAGTCTTCAATAGCAAGCTAAACAACATCTGAGAAAGCCACCATAATTTGTCATGTCAAGTCTAACAATTGAACTATAGCCATTACAAAGTAAATTTTGGGTAACATTTGGGTAGACCTTACCTTTCGGGTCTCCGTCCCGGAAGGTGGGTGAAGGGAGTGTAGCAGACTCTTTGTGAGTGGGACACTGTATGGCCTCCTTGCAGATGCCACAGCAGCTGGCCCATCTCGACAAGCACTTGAGAAGTCCAAAGTTTTAACATCTGTAAATGTCTCTAATTTTTCTTTTAGCTGATCAATCAGCATTTGCTGTTCCACTATTTTATCATTCTCATGGGGAAAAAGAACAAAGTAAAACTTTGCTGATCATGAGCTCTATATCATATTACCATTTGTAAATTCCTTACAAAGGTCATGAATCTTCTAAATTACTCACTGTCCTTAAATTTTTCTGCAGTGTACATGCATAGTCTGCAACAAACTGAAAATTGTATGACATTTCATCAATCTAACACACATATCAACTCCAATAAATTTTAGACATAGTTGACCAGAAAGTCCTATCCCAGGTAAGTTATGGTAGCTTTTCTAGGCATCTAGTGAGAGGTAGATGACATCCTTACCAGCCTATGCTTGCTTTATATGTATGTTTATGGAGAAATACAATGGGAAGTCAACAAAAATGTTAAAATGAAACACATGGTCTGAGTCTAATTAATTAAACATGTATACAGGCTTCCTGTTCCTCTTTGAGCAGTTCCACTTTAAAAATTATTTGTATTAATAAACATAAACATGTACATGATCTCAGGATCCCTGTACAGTTTACTTCTTTTTCTTCTGTCTAGCTTCAACTTTGTTGGTAACAGTAGTCTGGAGAACTTACTTATCTGTTTCTTCTACAGCAGCCTCTGTAAATTGTTCAAAACTACTTATTTTACCAAAACTGATTAATTCATAAGGCCAAGATTATATTCATTTTCCACTCCCTCTTATTCCTTTTAATTCTTTTCAAAGTACCTTTAAAATCTGGCCTAGTAACAACAAGAAAGTTGAAGCATAGCCAGTGATAGTAAACCGAAAGTATTCAGTGAAAGGTATTTTGCATTCTCCTACTTTGAGCAATACATTTTTAGTCATTTTTTATACTTGTTTTCTTAAACTGTAAGTTCCTTCCAAACACACATAGACAATGGCTTGCAAATCGACGTTTTGTTGGAATACAATGCATGATATTCCTGCTTTTCTATTTCATAGGAAATAGAACATGTATATATGAATAATATATATGTTATTATTTGGAAGCAGTAAAGGCCAACTCATCCACCTTGAAGCTATTATTTAACCCTTTTAAGACTCTTGGTCCCTCATATCATTATACATACAACCCTACAGTGCAACACCTGTTACATAAATACATATGCTATCTAATACCTCCTGCTTCTAAAGTTCTTATTTAATCACGTATCATTAAATTACACATTCCTATGAATGTAACTTACAATATTTGACAGAAGCGTTTGCTTTTCATTATTCTACCTGTTTTACATGTTATTAAACAAAAGTGTCAGTTTAGTGGATTAAGTACCAAAATTGGTGCCTGAGAGCCCTCAAGCTTCTCTCCTGTCTCTGCTACTGAAGTAATAATGATTTTTTACCTACATTGTGACTGCTTCTGTTCATTACCTCTGCCTTTTATCCTTCAGAATGTATATAAGCATTATCTCAGTGTAATAAGTTCACACTATGCTGTGCAGGTTAAAAAAAAATAAAAAAAGTCAATCTAGCCAAAGGTGACAGAAAATAAAGAAAGTGACAGAAGGAAGAAAAAGGTGATCACTCATATACTTACTTTTCATTCATTGACTCTCCTCAAGCCATCAGCAAAGAAAAGGAAAAGGAGAAAAAGTAGAATAAGGAGAAATGTACTAGCTAGCCATGCTTATGCTTTTCTTTTTTAAAAGGTCAGATAATCATTTATCTATCATCCACATGACAGGCAACACCAGGAGAATATTAACTCTTCTATTTAGGGAATCTTAGATCTTGAAATGTTACATATTTACTACCTATCATAATTTCATTAGTAAGCACAATATCTAGAGAAGGAAGGAGGCAAGCAGTGTTTCCACTGTGTCACTCAGATTTCTCTAATAGTAAATGCTTAGAAAATTAGGATGAAAAACTGTCTTACAAAGTCAAAAGAGAACAATACTCTAATTCTTAATAAAGCTATAACAAAATACATTTCTATACAACCTTTCAATAAAAGCATTCTTTAGGATCTTTATAGTCTTTTTTAGATTCTAAAGATTCTTTAAAGCCCTTTCAAATCCTAATTCATTAATTGTCTGGAAACTACTTAGCAATAATACACATCTAGGGATAGGGGTGTGTGTTATGCTTTAGGAAGCATTGAGAGGGTGAATGAATCAACTCATGTTATACAGAAAGGCTAGTTGATGATCTCAGCTCATTAAGTGATACAGCTCTAATTCAAACAAAACACCCATAAGTTTGAGAGGTGGTTATGTTCAAAAAAAGTGCTGAGAGACCTGTCTTGAAATAATGATTGCATTCATACAGCAGAAGGATGGTTCAATACAGACATATGTAATGCTTGCCAGAGAAAAAATACCTGTAATCTATGTGCTTCTTCAGCCTCCTTTAAAGATTCCAGTTGTTCTTCATTTTCCTGTAGTAAAGTCTTTATCTGATTCTGCAGTAGGTGCAGTTCATGATTCTTCTGGCTAAATACTTCTTCATTCATGACTAGAGCCTGCTAGAAAATAAAATAAAAGTTCAGCTTGGGAAAAGGGGACATTATTATTCTTAAAGTTGGAAAATGAAAAATAAAAACCTCTCACACCTCATTTGTTGTTAAAAGATGTGATCTAAACTGCAAAGTTTTGAAGTATGTACGGCAAATTGTCTAAGTGGTTATATGTAGTTTCTACCATTTTTTTCTTCACTTCTAGTTCATCTATTGATTTTCTTCTAACATTATTCTTTCATCCAAAGGGAATAATGTAACCATAACTGAAGCTACCTTAGTGAAGTAGATATCTAAATGCAATTATTCACTTTAGGGTGCTGTGAGGTGTAGCTGCAAGATCTCAGCATCAACCATATGATTAATACACTTTTCACATGAAAAAATAAGGACAGCTGTCCTAATTCTGAAACACAGATAACAAGCCTTACAGAAACTGTAAGAAATGTTTCTCTTTCAGAAAGCCTGTAGAAGCCAAATATGAAGTATCAAAACATCATGTCTTACTGTTCTAAAACTGAATACTTCTGTACAATTAGCTTTCCTACATCTTTCATCCAAGAAAAGACAACTCTAATAGCTTTTAAGAATGCACTCAAAAACCTGATGTCTCTTTCTCTCTCTCTTCTGTTGTCTAATGAACAGAACATTTTCCAGAGTCTATGTACCAATGCAAATGTTTCTACTAAAGGTAGTCGACAAGTTATCATGTCCTGAACCCAGTCAGCATGAGTTTAGGAAGGGCAGGT